CCTCTCTTCCATTCTCCTCTCAGGATCTTGGGCATGCATGCACACGCACCCGGCGTGAGTTTTAAACCACCGGGTCCGGGATGTGAACCGTGGTGGACTACTTGGGAGTGCAGCGATATAGCCATTATGCTAACTGCTAGTCCCTCTCCCTGCTCTTACTTACACTCCCCCCCACACACACATACACTTATAATAATACTATTTATGGCCCTTACTGTAATCAGTCTTCTCTAAAGAAACTACCTACATCTTCAAGCTTTTCTCAGAACAGTTCTTTTTTGTTCAAATTTTAAGGCTTTCCTCCAGACAATACTGGCACTACTGAAGCCCATCAGAAGAGGTGCTGTTCACACTTTAATTCTCCTAGAATCAGCATACCAGGAAAAGTGTCATTTTCCTAGCTACAACTTTTGATTTTAGACCAGATTTCATCCTCATCAACTAACAGATCAACTTCTAAAGAAGCTATACCTTTTGCTTCCTAATCAAATCCTCTACCACCTCTTTTTGTAGTGGTCTAGCTCCTCAAAAGGGCAACTCCAAAATCAGATTGAGAAACTCCATTAAAAAATCATCATCCCAACTTCGTCAGACATGCAATAAGGCTTACTGAATTTTTTTCATTCTAATAAAATATCTATTGAATTTTCTCAAATTTTTTTTCTAAATTTATTTCATTATCTTCCAGAGCTCATACCTTTCTCTTTATCTTGAATGGATGACTTTATCTCCTACTTTTCCAGAAAGACCATGCCATTTAATACGAATTTCTTCTTTTCTCAGTAATTCTCCAGTTTTAATCATTCTTTTTCTGTCTCCCTAGTTTCTGAAGGAAGGAGTATCCCTCTTCTGTTTTCTTAGCTTAACTCTTTTACCTTTTTTCTTGCATTCTATTGTCTAGGGCCTGTCTTTAGAAATTATATCTTCCTTCTCTTATTTTATCACTTATTTTTTCACCCATAGCCCCTTCTTTGGCCTGAAAAAAAAAAAAAAAAAGCTCAGTTTTCTCCTTCTTTAAATCTTTTTCTAACTTTATACCTTCTTTTCATTTGTTTTTTTTTTTTTTTTTTTGGAGAGGTTTTCACTACAGGGCATATGCGCTCGCCAGACAGACAGAGAGAGACAGAGAGACAGAAAGCGAGAAATCACTCCCCAGGGGGAATGGTCACGCCGCAATCCCTTCTCCTCCGTTCTCCTCTTGGGATCTTGGGCACTCACGCACAGGCGCCTGGTGTGAGTTTTAAGCCACCTTGTCCGGGATGCGAACCGCGGTTGACTACGTGGGAGTCCAGCGACATAGCCGTTACGCTAACTGTTGGTTCCCTATACCTTTTCAAATATGCATTCATTTATCTTCTTTTCACCAGCTTTCTTAGAACTATCACCTGCTTTTGTTGCCTGATTTGCTCCAACTCAGAATCCTCTAAAATCACTATTCTTCTCCTATCAGTTTGTAGAAACACTCTATAAAGGTCTTATCAATATTTTATTTCTTAACATTTCTACCTGTTTAAAGTGCTTCTCTGTGGCATTTGACCCTACCTCCTTCTTCTTATAAAAAGAGTCCAAAGTAGAGTTTCCAGATAGAAATCCCACTCCTCTTCCTGCCACTGGATTTCTTTCTCTTTCCATCCTCAACTAGTTCCCCTCCCTGCTCATTCAATAGCTTTCCTTGCAGATCTTATTCATAGGGTTCAGATATTTCCTATTTATCAGTGACTTTCAAATATGCACATTTACCCATAATCTTTGTCTGGTACTACAGCTTGCATTCCCAACTTCCCCCTAGAAGAGCTCAAAACCAACTTTTCAAAACCCAATTCAACATTGCTTTCTCAAATCTTTCCTCTCTTCGATATTTATTCTTCTCAGTTAAAGTCATCCTCATTATACCAATTATCCAATACCAGGTCATATAGTTCAATCTCCAATTCACCCATAGCGAATTTTTTTTTCTTTCTCCCTTCCTTCCTTTCCCCATAGCGAATTTTTTTTTCTTTCTTTCTTTCTTTCTTTCTTTCTTTCTTTCTTTCTTTCTTTCTTTCTTTCTTTCTTTCTTTCTTTCTTTCTCTTTCTTTTTTTTTTTTCCAAGCTCAAGAGCTCAGAGAATGAAAATAATATATATCAAGGACATCGAAACCCACATCTTCCCTTTTCATATGAGGGTAGTGAAATCAAGAGAAGTGACTTGTGTGAAGGACCAAGACTACAAACTCTATAGCATCTCTCTGCCACACCATAAAGAAAGGTTTGAAGGCAGAAAAAGATGCTTAGGTTGGCAGTTCGAGGAAGAACACCAGAGCAAGTATCTTGGCAGCTTGGCACATTTGAAAACAATACAAGGTAGTGGAAAGACTGGATGCTCCAGAAGCAAAAATAATCTGATAAAAGGCTAAGGGTGGGGCATTGCAAACAAACTTGTCCAGATTAAGTATTATGATGAATGAAACACTTCCGATAAGTAGCCTCATACTTATTTATGTTTCTGTTCAAGACAAGCAGGAAGGAATCGGTGGCAGCAATTCCACTGATTCCACTGTTTGCTAGTGATTGCCAGAGATTTTTGGATACCACTCACCAATAAAAACAGTGCAAATCCTCTGGAGATACAGGCATCTTATTTTCTCCAATAGACTTCAAATATGTGCAGAAAGGAACTGAACTCTTCCATTGATCTCATCCATCAGCACATGCACTCTATAAGTATTTAATAATCTGCATATATCTGTATATTTGTAGGGTGCTGAGTGCTGGGTATATGAATGGATACTTCAAAGTCCTGGCTTCAAGGAATTGAGAGCTTAGTCATGATGCAACAAGAATGCACATGAGTATGGTGTGTTATATAATAATCTGGGCACAGGGGATGTGAGGACCACAGAAGAGGCACCTCACCCAGAAGAGAATGCTAGGGAAAACATTCCTGAGGAAGTGAAGTGCACCACAGTGAAACCTCCCAGAGAAATTGGAGTTAACTGGCAAAGTGCAAAGAAGGGAATAATCTTGCAGACATAGAAAAGCATGCCAAATTTCAAGGCAGGGAAGAAAATATCCTATTTAACACCTGTAAATAAGACTAAAAATATCTGTTGTACAGAATAACTTCCTGAATCAGCAGTTTCCAAATGTCTTCTGGGATGATAAGAAAGGGTGATAGGAGAAACCAAGGATAACAAGGTTTTGTATTAATTACAGTGCAGAAAGATTAGAAATAAGCAAAGAATATAATCCTTAGCCTCTAAGTATGAGTTGTTTGTTAAATTACAAAAAGAGTTTCATTATTTAGAACTTCATGTTAACATTTTTCATGGAATTATTTGGGATAAAAATATCTACTTTCTGTATCTCACTAATTCAGAACTTTTAGTTCCAGTGAGGGAGGGGGAAGTCATACAACAGAATAACAAATAGTATTTCCTAACAGAAAATAAGTCTCCTAGTTTTTGAATATTCATTTTAAAGGTCTATTAGACATAACACTCAAAATCTAAATTGATGACAGAAAAAAATCAGGCCCACAAAGAAAAGACTTCTCTAGAAAATTTTGTTTATCTTTATTTTTGGAGGACAAGTAAAAATAAAATTCCACTCACACATACCACCACCAGCACCAGTACCAGTACTAGCAACAGCTTAGAATCCAAATAAGACTCTCACTATACTCTAATGCAGCAATGTCCAACATTTTGAGCACCAGGAACTGGTTTTATGGAAGACAATTTTATCACACACCTGGAGGTAGTGGGTGGTGAAGGGGGTAGTTATCGACAATTTGAATATATTATACTTATTGTGCACTTTATTTGTATTATTATTACATTGAAGTATATAATTAAATAATTATATAAGGCACCATAATGCAAAATCAGTGGGAACCCTAAGCTTGTTTTCCTGCAGCTGCATAGTTCCATCTGAGGGCTCTTATGAGAATATAACACTGTCACTGATCTGATAGGAAATAGAGTTTAGACAGTAAAGCAAGAAAGGGGGAGCGGCTGTAAATACAGAGGAAGCTTCACTCACTTGCTCACTGCTCACCTCCTTCTGTGCAGCCTGGTTTTAAACAGGCTATGAACTGGTCCCAGCTTATGGTCCAGGGATTGGGGATCTCTATTCTACTGCACATAGTTAAGAATTTAGAAATTCAGATCATGATTATTGCATGTGCCCCATTTTGTCCCCCAAATTTTTATTTAAAAATTCATGTTTTTGCTGATATTTTACTAGCCAAAATGGAATATTAGGCATGCAATTTCAGTGATCTGAATTCACAATGAAAATGTAAGAAGTCCACTTTCTAAAAATCTTAGTCTCCATTCTAAAGTGCAACTGATTTGACAAATGCAAGGTAATTTTCAATATTTCACAAATACTCTTTTCTGTTTATTAAAATCCAGTCCCTGGCATAGCTTCCTGACCATCCCAAACCTGTGAGGCTGTTACTATTTCTGTTTGAAAAGACTTGGAAGGAATGACAGGGATACCAAGATAGAAAGTGCTCAGGGTTTTGAATCTAGTATCATGGTTAACATAAGATCCAAAAATATTTATAGAGCTCTAAATACAGGCAGCGATGAATAAAGAAATATATTATTTAGTGAGAAGATGACTGCCAGAAGCTAAGGCCTAGCCAAATGGAATAATGATGGGGACAGACAGCAACAGGACGGATCTGGAGACAAGCCTAGGAAACTAATGTAAATCAATATACATTTATAGAGACTTTACTGAATGAGCAATTGCCCACAGGGAGTTGCCTACCATGGAGAAGTCAAGGCTAGGTATTCTTATGGTGATCCATTGGGTCCTTGGAAAAGTCATGATGTATTTTTCTCCACAAAAAAAGCATCATGACTTTTCCAACAACCCTGTAATTAACCCTTCAGTACATTGCTTTGGCTTTTTTAGTAGACTAGTTTACCCAGAGGTGGGATGAGAGTGGAGGGGCCTATCTGGCAGCTCCAACAGACAACATTAATGTACTATCTACATAGCTATTGATGTGAGAGCGGCATGGAAAATACTCACACTGGAGATAAAAGCCAGCCCGCTAGGAAGTATATCAATATCTTCAGAGCCATTTTCTGCAAAAGAAGTGTAGAATCAGAATGACGCATTATGATGGGTTAAAATACAAATCTTGCAGTCCAAACTTTAAACTTCTTTTGGAAAGAATAGTGATGTTTTCATCCATTTACTTGGGAACCTATATTAACTTTTGGGAATCCCACAGGCATGCTATTCTACAATAAAACTTGAATCAAATTCTTCAAATCTAAGTTATATTTTTAGAGCTGCATTTTCAACCAGGAAAGACAAATAACTAGAAAATAGATTCTTATGCTAGATTTATTCTTTTTCTTTTTTTGGAGAGGTTTTTACTATAAGGCACATGTGCTTGCCAGAAAGACAAAGAGAGACAGAGAGATAGAAAGCGAGAAATTACCCCCCAGGGGGGATGGCCACGCTGCAATTCCTTCTCCTCCATTCTCCTCTCAGGATCTTGGGCACACATGCACGTGCGCCTGGCATGAGTTTAAGCCACTGGGTCCAGGACTCGAACCACTGTTGACTACATGAGAGTTCAACGACATAGCCATTACACGAATTGCTGGTCCCTAGATTTATTCTTTAAATAATGATTTCTGGGTGTGTCTTGAGAGAATCACCTTGATTCCCCATAAAAGGCTGGTTTACAGACTGAATGATAAAATTCGGAAAGTCACAATTTTAAAGATCCCTTACATGTCTATCTACCAAGAATTCTTCCTCTTCCAACTTGTTGACGCCTAAACGTCTGTCATTGTACAGTCATATTGGGCAATTATTAAGTAATTATTCTCTGTTATAAAAGCAATAGGTCTTAGCATAGACTATTGAGTATAGATGAATTTGACAATTTAGTCATATCTCTTTCTCACTGTCAGTGGTTTTAAGCATTTTTGGATGGAAAGGTTATAAAAGCAATAGGTCTTAGCATAGACTATTGAGTATAGATGAATTTGACAATTTAGTCATATCTCTCACTATCAGTGGTTTTAAGCATTTTTTGATGGAAAGAGGCAGTGTCACAAATAAGTTTTGACTGAGAACAGATAAATAAGTTTCTTGCATGACTTCTAGTAGGGAGATGGATTCATATATGATGTGGTACCAAGCAGGCAAGATTAGGACTGAAAGCAAAGGTTATTTAGTATAGTAAATATAGTCCACAAATAGATCAATATGTACTGAACAGACAAACATGTACTGTTCTTTTTTTCTTTTCTTCTTCTTCTTCTTTTGCTACAGGGCATTCTCACTCACAGAGAAGGAGAGAGAGAGAGAGAGACAGAGACAGAGACAGAGAGAGGAGAGAGAGAAAATGAGAAAACACCCACATGGGTATGACCACACCACAGTCCTTTCTAATTCCATTCTCCTCTCAAAATTTTGGGAATGTATGCACACGCATCTGGTGTGTTTTTCAAGCTGCCAGGTTCAGGACTTAAACTAGGCAGTTGGCTGTGTGGGACTCAGCTGCCTTAACCACCCTGCCAACCAGGTGGCCCAGCCACATGCTCTTCTTAAAATGTGATGTTTATACTCTTCCATCAAGAGGTAAGATCCACCCATATTTATTCTTTTTGAAACTGAGTAGACCTTTATAACCGTCTTAACAGATAGAATGAATGAGATGTGCATAATGTCATATCATATGGCATCTAACACTAAGTCACAGTCAGCCATAAACACAGCTGCGTCTGTTTCTCTCACTTCTACTTCTCTTATTCTCTCTCTCTCTCATACACACACACACACACACACACACACACACTTCTCTGTCTGTATCTAAGGCATGCACCTTGGCAGCCCTGAATGAAAATGTAAGAAATCTGGTTATTCTAAAGCTATAGAGGAGAAACTACAGCAAAAGCACACAAAGTGGAGAAAGGTGCTGGAGGAACTGCAGAAGACTCCAGCTCCCAGTCTTTGAACCATCCTAGCTAATGCAAATAGAACAGGTGGACTATCTCCACTGAGACCTGCTAATATTTCAAATTTATGAGCAAAATGATTGTTTTCTAAGTCATCATATTTTGGGGAAGCTTGTTACAAAGTTATAGTAATTGGAACACATGTAAAAACAGTTACTTAGGTAATAGATTACTAGGGTGTAAAAAGGCAGTTGGGGGAGGATGGAAGAGTGTGGAAAAGAGAAGTGGGATAAAGCCAAAGAAAATGCATATTTGAGTCAACAGAAAGGTGAGTAATAGGTACTAAAAACTAGAGAACAGAAAAAGATGAAACTTTATGCACTACACTGAAGGTTGAAACTAATTCCCATCTAGTGCCGTAAAAATTAAATTAACCAGAATGTCCCATTTCCTAAACATTCTGGTTAAACAAGATTTACTTACATACGGTATTCTGGTGGCTTAAAATATTTAGTCCTATTTCCTCACAGAGTGATACAGCATGAGGAGAATCCAGCAAAATGAAAAAAGTGATTTTAAAAATCACACTGAATACAGGTTGGTTGCTTCTGATGTTTTTCTTGTCTTTCTGTACACCTCATCCTAGTTTCCTTTTACCTTGATCTCCTCCCTGCCTCTGTCCTGCATGTAGATCTCCAGGCCCTGTCTGTGCGTGGCTCTTTCTCCTGACAGAGGCCTCCGTTTCACCTTCACAACACACTCTGGTCCCACAGCTTCAGCTTCCACCTCCATGCTCTTAACTGTCCAATCTCAATGTCAAGTTCAACTCTTTCTCCCAAATTCCAGACCTCTGCATTCAGCTGTATAGTGGACATTTCTAACTGTTTTTTTTTAATTTCTCATATTCCGTAGGTCCTGATCTGGACATACCTACCTTGAATCTGTTCCATTGTCTACATTCCCGTTTTGTGTTGTTTTTGTTTTTAGTTTGCTATAGGGCAAGTGTGTTCACTGGTGAGAGACAGAGAGGGAAAGGAAGAGAGAGAGAAAGCATCCCCCAGGGGAGATGACTATACTGCAATATGTTCTCCTCCACTCTCCTCTTAGGATTTTGGATATGCACACACATGAACCTGGTGGCCCTGTGGGATCCAGCTGCCTTAACTACCAAGTCACCTGACTAGCCCACTATACCTCTGTTTTAATAGGTGGCATGTTCATTCTCAAGTATCTAAAGCAGGAACTGTGAAGTTATCTTTAATGCCTCCCTTTTCCTTATTTCCCAAATCCATTTGATCACCAGTCATCCAAGTTCTAGAATTTCCTGCTAAGGTCACTAAATTGCATCCCAATAGGTCAGCTCTGCTCTCCTAATGTCCATTATCTTCTCTGAACTACTGACAGTCATTTATTTACATTGCAAAGCAGACCTTGTCACTCTCTGACTTAGAACTTTCCAGAGGCCCACTACAGCTGACAGTATAAATCTCACAGGCTTTGGTCTAGATCTCAAAGCCTCTAATCTTGGCTCCAATCGCAGCCCTTGTGGGTTCCACCCTTCATTCAACATTCCAGTTGTGCTGTGGTGCTTCTGTTAGTAGTTTGTGAAATGTGTCAGACTCTGTAACCTGCTTGCCTGTGAACATGCTGTTCTCCTCTTGGCATACTCAGACTTTTCCCACCCCACCTTCATCTCTCTGGGCCAAGAGTGCATGCTCTTGGACTGAGCTAGAGGGCCATGCCTTCAGTCTCCCCCCTCAGCCTTTCCAGATTTGCTTGGTCTCAGCATCCATTTTATGTAATAATATGGTTTCCTGTGACTACCTCCACCAGAACCTTTTTCCATACTGGGCTGTATTCCTTTATTCACTTTTAATTTCCTACTAGATAGCATGCTTCCTGGGTTTTATTCAGTGTTGTATCCTTGCATCCAACACAGAGCCTGTCTTTTTACTGTAGAAGCTCTCAGTAAAAGCTAGTTGGTTCAGTAAATACTTACTATTGACAAGTGAATATTCACTGTTGAGTATAAGATATCTTGGGTTGTGGCATCTTTGGTTCTCCTTTTTTCTTTCAAATGCCATTTTACATCTCTGTTATGAGGTCAAACCTCCATAACTCACCCACAACTGAGTGGGCATTTTTCAAAGATGTTGTGACTGTCTTTATCTACTTGTTCCACCCATGGCATGAGGGAGCTGGTGTTTTGTACTCAGAAGTGGAAACAAATTACCAGCTAATGGCTCAATTTTTCCATCCCTCCTTGCCCTGCCTGTACTACACCTGCATGACAGGTTCAGTGCATCTCAGCAACAGTGGTGCCTGAGGGAGTAAGAGTCCCAACACACCCTCTTCTGAGTCCTCACACATATTCACCAGTTGTGTACAACTCTCATTCAAAACCCATTCCAAGACTAAAAGCAGTCTTATGAATAGGCATGTATTCCTTTCTTAACATGCCAACCCTTCTACTTAGCATAATTTCATTTTAAAAAATCATCTTTTCATCTCTTAAATCATTCTCTGTAAGCACCCTGAGAAAGGGTCACACCAAAACACTACAACCAGTTAATTGTTTTATTATCTTTTCACATTTTTGAGAGAAGTTTCTGATAAGCATTGAAGAAAACAATGGAAATATGTCTTAGAGACACAAGAAGATACAGAAGGGGAAAAGGGATGGAAGGGAAGATAGAAATATCAAACACAAAGGCTGCCTGCTTGTTATTCTTGCCTATGGGAAACCCTAATAAAATGATTCATATTTCAAGTGTAACTTTGATTAGATGCCAAGGGTAGCCAAAGAACTTTTTGGTTAAAACAATCCTTGACCCTCAAAGCCTTGGGAAATACGTGAACTTAATACAAAAAGATTTGTGAGAGATGATTTCTAGAGACAGACATATTTCATCTTTTGACTTGTCTTCCCAGGAAGAATACTGGAGAAGAAAAATGAAAAAAGGAAGAGTTTTTTCCACTAATAAAATTAACCTCTAACATCTGGGTCTTGAAGAAAACACATATGAGATTTTTCTCCAGCTCTCTTACTGCCCCTATCTACTACACCCTACCTAAAATCTGTCCTTGACCTTCCATTGCTTTATAAAGACTGTTCATCAGATAGTTGGGTCTTGTGAATGTTGTATTATTAGATAGGGGTATAGCAAAAAGTTCATGAAAAAAATGGAATTAAAATACAAGCTTATTTTGGGTGCAAAAAAAATTTCATGCTTTTTTTCCCTATAATATGTGTTTTACATATTATAGACCTCTCATATTTAAGTACCTAACTTGCCTTGTATGGGTCAGTATATATTTAGTAAAACTATTTGCATTACAGATTTTCTGTTTTCTGCTGCCATAAATGAAGATCTATAAGCTACCTTTAGAGAGGCAGGACCTTGTACATACACTGTGTCTTGGCCCAAGCAAAAATCTTGTGTACATGCACATCATGGATGTGGAGAGTTGTCTAAACCACTTTACTGGAGCTTCTGTAATAAAAATGTGTTGCCAATAGATAAGAATGGCAGTGTTACACAACAGAGATTACTAAGGCATAGGACAAAACCCTAACGATAATCTAGGCCCATTACATCCTAGTTTTGGCCACTGAGCAAGTAATTTAATTCTGCTGTGTGTCAATTTCCTAATCTGCAAAGCACAGATAGCAGGTAGATTGTGATGATAAGTAGATGTTTGTAAAGAACTCAACAGAGTGCTCATGGACCCCAGGCCTTTGATAGGCAGTTTTAATTTTTAGACATATGTCAGTATTGTCTAATTAACAAATGACCTGTGGTCATTCTAACTTGTTTAGTTCTTCAAACATAAAATGTAATTATGCCAATAGACAAAAGAAGTTAACAAGACATTTTTTTTTCCTTCTCCTCCAAGCCCACTTCCAGTGATGTAAGTTATTCTCTTCAAACTGTTTGGATAATCAGGTCCAGTCTGGTGATACAGTCAGTAACTGAACTGAACTCAATGCTGGAAGCCACATGGCTACCATGGATTCATATCCCAGGTCAGCCTGAAAACACTCCAGGCCTGTACAAATACCCAAGATCCTGAGGAGCTAGCAGGCTGTGGGAAGGAGACTGTGGTTTCTCTCTGTCTCTGCTGTGTGTGTACATGCTCTCTGTCATAAATAAAATAAATAAATGTAAGATAAATATTCGGGTAATCAGAACCCTGATCTATGTCTTAAAATATTAAGTCTAGTTTTAGCTTCTCAAATCCAGTTAAGTGGTACAATCTGAGAGTTGGTCTACACCTTAGCAATCATCTTGTTTTATTATCCCTTTAAATTACTAGCAGGGTTATATCTTTTTTTTTTTTTTTTGAGAGGTTTCTGCTATCGGGCACTTGTGCTCGCCAGACAGACAGAGAGAGACATAGAGACAGAAAGCGAGAAATCACCCCCCGGGGGGATGGTCACACCACAATCCCTTTTCCTCCATTCTCCTCTCGGGATCTTGGGCACACATGCACACGCGCCTGGCATGAGTTTTAAGCCACCAGGTCCGGGACGCGAACCGCGGTCGACTACGTGGGAGTCCAGCGACATAGCCATTATGCTAACTGCTGGTTCCCGCAGGCTTATATATTTTGAGAGTTACATATGTAGTAAGTACGAATATAATGTCACAAAATAGTAAACAAATGAAGGAATGTCACATTTTCTAATTTTTCAAATCAAATTATATTGAATCTTGATCCTCCAGTTCACTAAGCTGCATGGGAAATTCAACCTGAGTCATTACTGGGTTTCTCTTTTAGAGTCATGCAATGACTCCTGGTGATGGGTCTTAAACCAGACAGCATGTCTTGGGAAGGCCATCAGCCTTTATTCCTCAATAGTCACCACTGAGTTATTCACTGCCAAGCCTAGAGGTTCCTTTAATGTAGACAGCTCTGCCACTTTCACGTCTTTGCTCAAGCTGGAACACACAGGGCACAGGGTCCACTTCCTTGAAGAGAACTGGTAGATATTTGTTCTGATGGCTTGCTCTTCCACCAGAACGCTGTCAGGTGTGCAGCAAGGGTCCCTGTTGTTCAAAGAAATCCACATATTCTTATCTCTTTCCCATCAGAATCCCTTGAAAGGAGCTCAGGTTTCAAAAACAAAAGTCTAGAAGGAAATAGTCTTCACTTTCTTCTGCCTTCCAGTAGGCAGCACAAACTAACCTGATAGGTAGCACAGATCCAGGTTACTTTTTTTTTTTTTTTTTTTTTTGGTGAAAAATTAGGAGAGTAGAAAAAGGCAGCAAAAAAATAAAAACTCAGGAAGGTTCTTTTTTTAAAAATACATATATATATGTTATATATATATAGTAAGAAAACTAAAATACAAAATATAACACAAAATAAACTACCTGTCACATACTGATAAATAAGTCACAGTCCAGGACTCGAGGGAGTTTGCACCCTGTTAGTGAAAGAGGGAACACTGCTAGTTGTTAAACAAACCATGTGGTAGGTGTCATAAAATCAGAGTTTTCATGTGTTGTAAGAGTTCAGAGTAAAGAGAGGATTGTGCAACTTGTTTCAGTAAGCAGGGAAGAAAAAAATCAGTGGAGAGAATCTTATAAGGAAAGGTGAGGAAGTGAAAGGACGCATTTCCAGAAGAGAAGTGAACAGAACCTGGTCTGAATTTTCTTTTACTAGTAGCAGAATCAGGAGGAATTGGAGGCTTGGAGCCCACAGAAGCAGCTACAGCAGGTGAGCTCATCCATGAGCAGGGGCACAGAGAAACCTGAGGCCAACATGTCTCACATGAAAGTACAAGGGACAAAAGGAAAAGAAATGGGTCCCGGATTTTGAACCAAGTCTCTTGAGAAAGGGGCTACCAAAAACAGGGGAAATCTAGAAGAATATTGTGTAGTGTGCAGGAGAATAAGGGAGAAAATAACAGATGTGCAAAGTAGAATTCAGCTGAGATTGAGGCTGAGCTGGAGCTTCCCTTTAACTAACTGGAAAAGAAGGCCTGTGGCTTGAGAAGTTAGAAATCAAGCTGTGGATTTCAGTTAATTTTTTATTTATTTTTTTTTTTAGAAAGAGTTTTTGCTATAGGGCTCATGCACTCATCAGAAAGAGAGAGACAGAGAGAGACAGAAAGCAAGAAACCACCCCCCTGAGGGATTGGCCACTCTGCAATCCCTTCTGCTCTATTCTCCTCTCAGGATCTCTGGCACACACGCACATGAACCCGGCATGAATTTAAGCCACTGGGTCCGGGACTCAAACCACGGTCGACCACACGGGAGTTCAGTGACATAGCCATTACAGCAACTGCTTATCCCCAGTTAATTGTTTTTAAAGCATTACTTTATTTAACTTTATTTACTTATTTTTAGTTTGACCAGAGAGGGACAGACAGAGAGAGATTGAGAGAGAGAGAGAAAGTGAGAAAGTAAGCCTTCAGGTCCAGGACTCGAACTGCAGTCAGCCATGTGGAGTCCAGCACCCTTAACCACCATACCACTTGCTGGTCCTATTCAGTTAATTTTTTTAAAAGACATCTAGATAGGCAATGAGTTCCCTGAGGTTAGACATTAAGTCATAATACTTAAGGAGGGCAGAAGGCAAAAAGAAAGAAAATAAGTAAGACAGGCCACAGAAGACAGGGAGAAGGGTGTAAATCACAGGGGAAAGGGTGAGAATTTAGTGGGACACAGTCAAGGTGCAGTCAGTGACATCCTTTAGATAATGGACTGAGAAAAAGAGATTTTGGCACTTAAGAGACCCATGATTGGCATAGCGTGGGTATAACTGATAGGAAAGGAGCCCTTCTTGGGGGGGTCTAAAGATTAACAGAATTTGGCAGGGCTCAGACAGGTGGATGATAAACAAGAAACTGTGCTGGTCTCCTTTGGTACTGTCACATACATACCGAGTCCCTCAATAAGGTGGCAGTTTTGGGGTTCTACTGGCTCTACTTCTCGAAATGCATTCATTTTTCCTCTGTGAAAAGAAAAACCAACAATGGAAGTCAAGGTAGAACATCCAAAATCGATGTCCAAATATGGCCTTTAGTCACCTTCATATTGGTAGACTCTATCACAGTTTACCAATGATGTAACAAGTAAATAGGCGTCTCCTTTTCTGTTTACACAATGTAGACATTATGTGGGTAATGTACCTGTATCAGCTAGCTCACCCTGTTATTGCTGAAAGACTAAGATGTTATACACATGGAACGCACTTTGTTGCCCAAGTAGATACTATTTAACAGTACACGTAATCAAATCAAGTTAAGAAGAATAATGCACAATGTAGCATTATTTAATTTTCTAAAGTATTGTCTAATTCTGCACTTTTGCCCTTAATCTCCTAGAGTCTTATCTTTTGAACCCATCCCCAAAATTGCTATCCCAAAATTCAAAAGGGTCTCCTAGAAGTTGAACCTTGTAGCTTTTGCTTTATTTTTTTTAAAAAAAATTTATGTTGACACATTTAGCAAATATGTAAGTTCATTAAACTACCAAAATTTAGATAATTTTCCAAATTATTGTTCAATCATTGTTCTTGTTTTTATAGTGAAACATTCTTCAAAATGTCAGGGATCATTTTAAACTTCTATTCAACTATATTCAGGAAGGTTTGTACACTTGGAAGGTATCTCATAGTCACTTAAAAAAAAAAACCACTATTATTATTACTACTATTTTAGGACTCTCTCACTTGGTTGCACTAAAAGCACATGTAAAAATAAACACTCCCAAACTGACCTGGAAAGTATTATCAAAAGGTGCTTCAACAGATTCTAGACGTGAACCTCTGAGGAGACCAGCTTCTATTCTGAGAAATAAACCTTTAAAAAATCCAGACAACTGAAGGCAGGCAGAGACTATAGTTCCACTTGGGAACTAAAGATCATCACCTAATTTTCTTCTCTAGAGCCCAGAACTGACTTTCCCTGAGACATTTCTAGTATGGCTATGACCACTGCATACAAGATCAGACTCCTACAAAAAACTCCAGTTACCCCTGCAGGTTTCAGCTCAGTGTTTGCGCGGTCTGGCTACCTCTGAATCTGGGATGGCTTCTGTGACCCAGTACTCCTCTGAGTTTCACCAGGCTTGGGCAACGTCTGAGCCAGCCATAAATAACTAGCTGGAAGCCTGATTCCCTTGCCCAAGTCCAGCGATTCCAGTTAACTTCCCCCCCACCCCCAAGCAAATGTTGACGGAGACCCAGAGGGGACATTTCCCCTTAACAGTTTTAGGAAAGGCAAGCACTAGTTCTCTTCGCCCCTAACTGGACGATGCTGGAAGGGATTGAGGGGTGAGCTTCCAAAGTCGCTGATTACTTCCCGCTAGGAAGGCGGGGCCGCGGAGCCCTCCACCGAGCTTGGAGAAGAGAAAGACCGAGGACACCTGCTCACCTGAACGCCAGGAACCTCTCCCCGATTAAGGCCAGGCCGACCCCCAGCACAGTCAGCACCACTAGCTTCCCCATAGTCTCGGGTGCCCAATGGCGATGGGCGGGCGCCCTGCGCTCCGGGAGGGCGCTGCGGGCGGGTTCTGGCACCGCCCATTGATGGGTGCAGGGGGCCCCGCCCCCCAGGCGCCTCTCGGGGCAGGTGCGTCGCTAGGGCGTTGCGACTTGGGACTCCGCAGCAGTCACGCTGCCCAGGTTCAAGGCCACTTCTCCGCACGCGCTCGGGTTCAAGGGAACTTGCATGCGCGGAATTTGCGGGAGTTTTTTCTTCAATGCTCAGTTTACCAGCAGGGAGCCCGGGAACGCTGGTTAAGGTCTGCAGTTCCTGTGACAACTTTGTTAAGAAAACAGCAGATGGTGGGCCGTGGAAGAAGTCCTTTGCGCCTGAAAGCTGCGGAACTCCCTCTCTGCCTCCCAAATGGATTCACCTGGGAACTGAAGGGGCAGGGGAGAACCAGGTACAAAAGTTCAGAGCCAGACACAGGACGTGAGGTGAGATGGAATTGCTCCCGGGTCTCTGGAAGGTTAGAAGATAGCTAACGAAGAGCTTTAACTCATTCCCCTCCAAGATTTGGACACAGGACGCTGATTTGGGCACAGGACATGGTCCCCAGACCTTTCTGTAAGACGTTCAGAGCCAGACACAGGACGTGAGGTGAGACGGAGTTGCTCCCGGGACTCTGGAAGGTTAGAAGATAGCTAACGAAGAGCTTTAACTCATTCCCCTCCAAGATTTGGACACAGGACGCTGATTTGGGCACAGGACATGGTCCTTCCTGTAAGACTTTTGGATCCTTTTTAATTCTGGTCTTCTGTCCCCACTGGGCAAGAACTGCACTTTCTCCTCTCATAATAAGAACCAATTTGAAAATCTCACACACACACACACACACACACACACACAAACACACACACACACACACACATAGATAAATAAATAATCTTTTTTTTAAGGCCAGGTTGAGGTGGGGAAGACTTGAAGAATTTGGGCAATGTAGCAGTTTCAAGCTGATCTGTTTTTATTTATCAACAGCGAAGAATAGTACTTTTGAGTTCAGCATAGTCACCTGGAAATATTGGGGAAAGAAAAGGTGGACTCTGACCTGTAGGGTACATTAGCATGAATACGTAATTCTGGGATGAATCATAAAGCCTACCGTGAAAGCAGCACTTGCTATGTACTTTGCTTTGTGCATAGAACTGTATGTATGTTAACTCTTAATAATATTAAGAACACTCTCTGGATAGGAAACATTAATTGTGTGACTTCTCTAGGTTAAACACCTGGTAAATGGTAGAAGGCAGTCCGGTCCAAAGCTTGTGCTTTGTTGAAGCTCTGGAAAAAGGGTTCTACTAAAAGGACACTGTAACATCTAGAGTTGTGCATAGAAAACCTTTTTTTTTTTTTTTCCTTTTTTCTTTTGGCCAGAGGGTGTGTGAGCTCAACAGAGAGGGAGGGAGAGGGAGAAAGCATCTCCCAATAGGACATGATCACACCAGAGTCCCCTCTCCTCCATTGTCTAACCTGTCAGGATATTGAGCGTGCCCATATACTGTGTCCTGCCAGACCTTGAACTGCCCAGAGGGCCATGTGGGATCCAGGTATCTTAACCACTCGGCCACAGGGTTAGCGTGACAGTATTTTGGAAGATGACCAATTTTAACACAGGCAGAGGAAGAACTGAATTCTGGTCCTGTGAGGACTTGGGAGGAGAATCACTCACAGAGCTGAGGGGTGCAGGGTGTGGTGCAGACATGAACACTGAGTTTGGGGGGCAGGTTCCTTGGGTTTGAATCTACTTTGAGTACAATATTCAACTTTCTTCAGTTACAGATTCCTCTTCTGTGAAAGAACACCCACCTCCTAGGTGGCTTAAAATGAAATGTGATAGCAAATGGAAAATGCTCAGCACTGGGCTTGGTACATTGCAAGAATCAACAAAGGGGAACCACAACTTAAGTCTGAGCCTCCATTTGTGTAGGTAGGTTCCTTTTGTGGGGAAACCTCATCCCATTGAGCACCAGGGCTTCAGTAATATCTGTAGAACTTCATACCTAATAGTGGCTCAGTAAATGCAATTAGATGGATGGGTGCCATATATGGCCTTCAAAGAAAAATTGAGAGAGGAAAATGGAGGATGAAATGGTAAAAGTTGTAATCCGAGCTGAGCACATATGCCTTATCACGTTACTTCTTATTTGTCTCACTTTACAAGGAAGGCAAGTGCAGCATAGAAAGATTAACAACACGCTTGAGGTTCCACAAGGAAGAGGTGTCAGAACCATGGTGTGGACATGAGCTAAGTGCGCTAGAGTTCCTGTTCCTTGTCAGTGTGTTTGCTGACTTGTGGCATTGCATGAAAAAAGGGCAAAGAAAGGGGCATAACCTTGGGCAACTATTGAGAGTGCTGTGTTATCTATAATCATTAAAACCATTCTGCACAGTGTGTGTGTGTGTGTGTGTGTGTGCCCATAACTTTAAACATGAGGGGTGGTTAGTTACTACTGAATACCATAATTAGTCCTTCAAATCTCTAATACGGTTAAATTAGCATCAAAGAATTCTAAAATTTCAGGCCACTCTACACAGTGTCACCTTCTAAAGCTGTATCTAGAGGGCCCACTCTTTAGCACAGCAGATGTTACAAACAGTAATTTATACTAAAGCCAATTTTGTCCAGACCATGTGGATTGTTGGGAAACACTATCTAAAAGTTGCTGCCCTGCATACAGTAAGAACAAGGACAGCAGGTCAGCATCCTCATCCCTCAGGTATAGGGTATAGATCAACTGTTTGGTGATGTATCCATATTATGATTAACCCAAGAAATTCTTTTTTTTTTTTTTTTGAGAGGTTTTTGCTATAGGGTGCATGCACTCGCCAGCAAGACAGAGAGATAGACAGAAAGTGAGAAATCAGCCCCCAGGGGGAATGGCCACACCATAGTCCCTTCTCCATTCTCCTCTCGGGATCTTGGGCACACACGCACACGAGCCCAGTGTGAGTTTAAGTCACCGGGTCTGGGACTTAAACCGCAGTTGACTACATGGGAGTCCATCAACAAAGCCATTATGCCAACTGCTGGTCACAAAATCCTTCTTTTTGATCTGAGGTTAATGAGTTGTTGAATCCTTCCTTCAGAACTTTGTCTCAGTCTGAATTCAGGTGCTTGCTGAAATACTAAAAAGGACATAGCCGGAAGTCATTCATTGAGTTTACAGAACATCAGATCATAGGGTGGTTTTTAAATGATTCATCGACAATAAACATATGTATGTAACAAAGTTGGGCTTGAGACTTGTGTTTATTGGACCATACTCTTGTGGCAGTGAGATTAAGAGAAGAACCTATATAGCCTCATCCACATCAAAGCGTGGAAGGTTACTAATGTCCATCAGCAAAAAGACACTGGCAATAAGCCAAACTGGTTTGGTCAAGAGGCTGAAGAGTATCACAAGAGGGATTTGTTGTGGTGGCAATGCAGGACAGCACAATGCTGCAATGCTGGAGGCCATATGGAAGATTGGAGTTCAGTTGCTGGGTTGGCTTGTACATGTCCAGCACATGCATGTTAATGATGGTAGCTGGGAAGGCTGTGCAGTTCAAGTCCCAAACAGTGTGTGAGAAAAAAAAAATGTTTTAGATTCCTTTTTTAAAGATTTATTTTACATTTTATTTATTATTATTAGTAGTAAATTTTTAATTTTCTCTAGGGCACATGTGCACACCAGAGAAAGACAGAATGACAGAGAGAGAAAAAACAAGCCTCCAGGTTTGGCTTGAACCACAGTTGGCCATGCAGGAATGTAGCATCTTTTTTTATTCTTTTTTTCTTTTTAGGAGAGGTTTTTGCTATAGAGCACGTGTGCTCACCAGAAAGACAGAGAGAGACAGAGAGACAGAAAGTGAGAAATCACCTCCCCGAGGGGATGGCCACGCCGCAATCCCTTCTCCTCCATTCTCCTCTCGGGATTTTGGGCACGTACACACATGCACCTGGCATGAGTTTAAGGCACCAGGTCCAGGACTCGAACTGCAGTCAACTACATGGGAGTCCAGCGAAATAGCCATTATGCCAACTGCTGGTCCCTGGAGTGTAGCATTGTAACCACCATGCCACCTTCAGGCCCTGTTTTAGATTTCTAACATATACGTGTACTTATTAACTCACATCTACTTTTGTTCAAATAAAATTTCTAGTAAAAACAACAGAAAAAAAGTTTACTGTAGGCGTGTCATATTCTGGTACTTTTTATAAATGTAGCTTTTTAGATAAACATTGTTATAGCATCCTAAAACCTAAAACATATGCCACTTGGTTTTGAATTCTTAGGTGAACAATATTCAATTTTGCTTTATTCATCTGCGAGTTAACATTTTCTCATGGATAATTAGAAAAAAATGGTAATTATTTTTGCATGAAATATATCCAATACATTTGCTATGGTTCAAATGTCCCCTAAAATTTCATGTGTTGAGATTTGGTTGTGATGGGTTTAAAAGGGTGAAAACTTAATCCAACTACAGCATTGGAAGATGGGGTTTTAGGGAGGAGACTAGGATTAAGGTAATTAGGATGCCTCCATGATTGACTCCTAGTGAGTTTATAAGGGGAATTACCAACAAAAAAGAAAACATGGATGAGATGGACAAATTCCTGGACACATAAAATCTACCAAGATTGAATCAGGAGGACCTACAGAAAGCCTAAATAGGCCCATAACATGCAATGAGATTAAATCAGTAGTAAATAACCTCCTAAAAAAGAAAAGCCCTGGTCCTGATGGCATCACCTCTGAATTCTACAAAACTTTTAAAGACAAGAATGCCCACCTTCTCCACTCCTTTTCAATATAGTGCTGGAAGTCCTAGTCAATGCAATCAGAAAAGAGAATAAAAGTCATTCAAATAGGAAAAGAAGAGGTGGAATTATCTCTATTTGCAAATAACATAGAAGACCCAATGGTATCCACACACACACACACACAAAAAAAAAAAATTCCTGGAAGTAATAAATTAATACCAGGATTCAAAATCAACATACAAAAATCTATAACATTCCTATATATGAGCAATAAGCAGACTGAGATAGAACTGAAGAAAGTAATCCCATTTACCACAGCCACAAAAAGTATAAAATACTTAGAATATAACTAACCAAAGAAGTCAAAGACCTCAACAAGGAAAACTATGAAAATCTAAAAAAAGGAAGTTGAAAATGACACAAGAAAGTGGAAGTATATCTCATGTTCCTGGATTGGAAAAATATAATCAAAACGACAATTCTACCCATATTAACCTACATATTTAACCCAATCTCAATAAAATTACCAGAGACATTCTTCACAGATTTAGAAAAGACAATCATAGAATTTGTCTGAAATCATAAAGACCCTGTATTACCAAAGCCATCCAGTGCAAGAAGAATGTAGTAGGCGGCATCTGACTCTTTGAACCCAAAATAAATTACAAAGCTGTGATAATCAAAACAGCAGGGTATTAGCCCACACACACACAAAAAGACATGTGGACAAACAGAACAGAATAGAAACCCTACAAATAAACCTCCAAACATACAGCCATATGATTTTTGACAAAAGATCCTAGCCAATCCAGTGGGAAAAGGAAAATCTCGTTAGCAAGTGATGCTGGAAAAACTGAGTATCCACCTACAGAAAGATGAATCTGAACCCCTATCTCTTTCACCAATGACAAAAATCAACTCAAAGTAGATCAAAGATCTAAACTTAAAACCTCAAACTATAAAATTACTGGTGGAAAACTCTGGGAGACATTGTAGTAGGCAAATACTTCTTAAATAAGACCCCCAAAGCACAGACAATAATCCCAAAAATAGAAAAGTGAGATTACATCAGATTAAGAAGTTTCTACACAGCAAAAGACACAGTAATTAGTGTGAATCAACAACCTGCAGAATGGAAGAATATTTTTGTAAACTATGCCTCAGATAAGGAACTGATAATCAGAATACTCAGGGAACTCAAGTGGTTTACCTTAAAAAAAAAAAAAAGTGATCAACCCAATTAAAAGATGGGAAAATGAGCTGAAAAAACAACTAAGGAAGACATAAGAACAGCCAAAAAGCATATGAAGAAATGTTCACCATTCTCATCATAAAGGAGATACAGATCAAAAACAAAATGAGATACACCTAATCCCAGTCAGAATGACTAAAATTAGAAAAAAAAAAAAGTAAGTGCTAGCAGAACTGTGATGAAAGGGGAACTCTCATACACTGCTGGTGGGATGTAAATTGGTCCAGTCTCCAAGATCTACAAATAGAACTACCATATGATCCAGCAACCCCACTCCTGGGTATCTACCCAAAGGACAGGAGAATGTTCAGTCAGAAAAGTGCTTGCACATTTGTGTTTATTGTGGCATTATTCATGCTAAGACATGGAACCAACCCAGTGAAGAGATGAATGGATTAAAAATGTTTGGCACATATTTTCTGTAGAATACTATTCAGCCATAAAAAACAACAAAATCCTGGCTTTTGATAGAAAGTGGACAAATATAGAAGATTTACTGCTGAGTGAAGCAAGCTAGGCTATGAAGGAGAGATATTGTATGTCTCCACTTAACATATACTGACTGTCCATATTCTATGGCAGAAACTAAAAGATTAAATAGAAACATGGAAAATGGTTATGGATACTGGATACAGGGTGGGAAGAGGGTGGAAGGAGGAGGAGAGTGTGAGGAAAGATACTAAAGAGAAAAACAGAGAAGCATGAAAAATGTTCAACATCCCTCATCGTAAGGAAAATTGAGATCAAGATTAAAAAAACAAAAAATGATAAGTGTTGGAGGGTGTGTGGTGAAAGGGGAACTCCTTTACCCTGCTGGTGGGAATGTAAATTGGTCCAGCTACTGTGGAGAACAATTTGGAGATTCCTCAAAAATCTTCAAATGGAACTACCATATGATCCAGCAATCCTACTCCTCGGAATCTACCCAAAGGACAGAAGAATTCTTCATTGGAAAAGTGCTTGCACATCGATATTTATTGTGGCACTGTTCACGATTGCTAAGACATGGAACCAACCCAAATGCCCCCATGTGGATGAATGGATTGAAAAACTGTGGCACATACACTCTACAAAATACTATTCAGCCATAAAAACCAACAAAACCTTGGCTTTTGACAGAAAGTGGAAGAATACGGAAGATTTACTGCTGAGTGAAGCAAGCCAGGCTATGAAG